TCCCGACTGATAATCATTCTACGACTGCTAATATCCAGTCATGATCTTTCTTCCTTTTCTCTCCCTGTTTGATTCTGTATTTCTTTCACTCGTTCCGTGTATTCATTCAGTGTTCTAACAAAAAGATTCGGAACCATGTCACGTTATGATGCTGACAAAGACAAAGGTGACGATGAACCAATTCACCCCTATGTTTAAATTCTTTTATACAGTTGTTTACGTCACCGTCGACCTTCTAATAAACAACTCGAAACATCTCTGACAAAAATACAGTACACCTATTATAAAATGTTTGTGAAAGAAAAAAATATTTTCTTTATAGAAATTTAATATATAGAAATCTAATATAATAAATATATAATATCAAGGGGATAAAAAGGTCATCCTGATGAATGTTTCATTCATCAAAAATAAGTATCAAATGAGATGGAAATCATTTTGGAAATATTGTAAGCATTATTATTAAATAAAAATTACTAACCATTGATACGCATCAATAGTATACGTAAAAGCTATACTATAAATGTATATTAATGTTAGTGTTTCTGTATACAGTATACAATATTATATAACTGCTTGATGAAGGACAGCAGTTAGTGTTTAATATACTGTAGGTTCTTTCGTTGAATTTAATAAATAAGAACATATTATATAGCAAAAAATATTTAGATATGGAATGAAAATTTAATATATTCACTTAAATATTTTTAAAATGATTCTAATTTATAATGAGTTATGTAATTTGCCCTGCGATTAAGTGTAATTAGAGCAAATGCATGTATGTACTGTACAGTAGATTTTACCATTGTAAACGAGTAAAGGATTTTTAGAACTCAAACCGTGACTTTTTTCACAGAAATGATCAAATATTCCAATCCCATTTTCGAAAATTTTGCATTTTATTAAAACTATATTTCTATAAACATAAAATTATAAGTGAAAATTCTTATTTCATGTTTGGTAAACGTCATCCGAAATTATTTATTATTTGCATGCAAAAATTTGAGTGATAAATAAATTTCGCGGACTTGAATGATAAAATAAATACAGTATTTCATATATTCAACAGAATTTCATATTCTAAAATAGATCGTGGACATTGTGTTATAAAAATCATGAAAAATATCAAAATGGTTATTTCGATTAGCATAATTATTTATAACAATATTTTATACTAAGAATCAATTTAGAAATTACACATTTCCTTATTCATGATGGAAAATTGGTTTGTGTAATAAAATTATTTCTTGATTTTTATTAACACTACAAAAATGTTTTATTTAACAAATCTCACTAGATAGCATCTCATTTCATAATGTATCCTGTTCTACGATTATTCCTCCCCCCAGCTTCTGAATAAAATCCTGTTTATAGTCTAACATGGAGTTTCAAGGTCGCTAGCAAGTCGAGGTTCAAAGTCAAACTCTGGTCAGTGCTAATTCAGCACGGAGCAGCGTGTCGTTAGCATCAAATTTCGAAATTAAATGTCGTTCAACTTTGCTGTTGTGTGGCCAGTCACTTATAATTCGACGTGTATCGGAGCTGAGAATAGCGAACGTAGAATTCTATGAACTCCACTAACGTCATCACCACGCTGCAGTTGGACTATAAATTGACTCTATAAATTTCACCCCTGTAAAGTTAAAGTTATCGTTTTTATTATCAAAAACTTGAATACTTGAATTTTTAAATCTTGAAAGATCGTAAATGTTTTTCTTTTAAGGTAATTTTGTAATAATCCAAACACAGATGAGCAAATTATGGTGAATAATATGAGTGTTTGAAAACATTCTAATCACTTAGTAATAATCTTGCCAGGTAGTAAAAAATGTGATGGTTTAAATAACGACTGATTCTATACAAATGGCTTTTTAACCATTTACAACTCGACCTATTTTTGCCTAAAAGTCGGATATTATAAACAAGATGTGGAGATAGCCTCAAAAAAAAAATTTGAGTAGTAAAACTTTGAGCGAACTTTATGAAAATATTTATGAAATTTAATATACTGTATAAACAAGATAATAAACAGCATTATACTCATTCAATTTTGATACTAATAACAAACAAAGTTTAGTTAATTAAAAAGTATTATAATTTTAATAAAATAATTCATTTTGACCAATCAGAGTTATCAATTCAAATGGGGATCTATTTAAATTTTATTTACTTTAAATTATCAAAATGACGATCCACGTAAATGCCAATTATTCTAAACTATAATCTCCAAGAATACGGATGGCCGAGACGTTAGCCTATCGCTCTGAGGAATCCTGAATCGAATCCGGGCGAGTAACTTCCTAGTAATTTTTCACGGGTGGTCAGTCAGTCAGACCTGAATATGTCAGGTCCAACCCCTTATCATCTGGCCGTCCCCATTTTTCATAGTAACGTGTGGCCGGCCGAATCCACGACGAGTATAGAAAAAGGCCCTCTTAGTGTTCTCGGAGCGAAAAGAATAAAGAGGAATGTAAAAAATTAGGCTTCATTAACATAAATATTAACAATTAAAACATTGGTTAATCGATAACAATTTTATCTATTATGAAAATGTAATCTCCCTTTATCTTCCCACCCCTTAACCTTTAATTAAAATTTAATAGCATCAATTCGCAATATATAGAAATGAATCTGCCAAGTGTTTAAAATTTCTGGTTCATTCAGTCCTGAGATATAACGCAAGATAAATGCACAAACACATATAAAAAAACTTACAAAATTGTCTGTATTTCTGGGCTCCTGAAGTGTCAAAATATGGAGAAATGTAAAAAATCGAGGGTTGAAAAAAATACTACCATATTTTCCCTTTGTTATATTCTTTAACTGCCAGGAAAGTAATATAGTATATTTATAATATTAAAACGGAATTACTATGATCGACGTGCAATTAGAACAGAAATTTGACTTTCTTAATAGTATTTACCATCGCGAGTCAGCACATAGTATAAAAATGACTATTTGCTACATACACACACAAAAAAATAACACAAATAAACATACTAAACCTAATTGTATCATTGTTGCAAAATAAATATTAAAAAATCCAGCAACGAGTTACTTAACTTTCCCGGCAACATTAACAATTTTAGTGGAGTCATCTGTTATATTTTTAAAAAACTTTNTAATTTCCTGGGCTGCTTTCGGATTTTCACATAAGCCACTACTTCCCTCAACAAAAGTATGAGGTAGTCCTATCGTATGGTAGGAGACACGACGCTAATTAAAAATAATTATTTAGTGTTATTAAATATCCTGTAAATACTTTAAAATAGTTGAATTTGTTTATTTACCTTCGCTAGTAACATCCCTCGTTGTTAAACGTTTTCGCCATTTTTTGACAATATCCCATGAGTCAGTGCGCGACGTGAACGTGTGATGCAACGTGTTTTACTTGGGAGTTCAAATGTCAAACATGTACTGTACTTCTGCTTGCCGTACAAGTTTAACGTTTGAACTTCGGCCGCAACCTCTCTAATAATTGCATAGGCCTGACCTTGAGGAAATTCAAAATTTGCTATCGCCCACACACGAGGAGGAAAATCTCTCAGTCAGTCAGTCAGTCGGCCATGGCATCTGATGACGATGTACTGGCAGTTCTTGGATGTTAATTGGCAAGGAACAGTATTAAAACTCGCAGGAAAAAACGTATGCGTAGAAGTCTATGGTGTAAAGAGTGGCTAAAAAAAGAATCGTATTCACATGTGCACCTGATCTCAGAATTGAAGTTAGTACTTAAAGATTGGCACAACTATTTGAGAATGGGCGGAAGAAACGTATTTAAATCTGTTATCGTTGCTTTTTATGATTGGTGTAACCAAAATACTGTATTGCGAGCAGCAAAATACTGTATTCCACCCCATGAGAGGCTCATGGCGACCGTAAGGTATTTGGCAACAGAACAGAATTTAATAATTTGAAATACCACAACTTTCGTTCATATACTCGTACTTCATCAGTTCCTGATCCTCTGATTTTCTTAATTTCCTTCCTACATGCACTTCTGATGTTATTATTTTTTACAACACTTTCTTTTCGTTTCTTTCTTTCTTTTTCTTTTTTTTTTTTTTTTTTTTTTTTTTTTGTTAGCATTTGGCTCAATGTCCTTCAATCTTTCAATTAAACGTAAATAGGCAACTTCTTTTTTTCTTCTGTCATGTTAATCTTTATTTTTAACATGCCAAAGGCATGGTTCACTTTCGTATATCTTTAAAAATTCTTTTAAACAGTCACGGGACATATTTATTTACCAATACACCAACACGATCGCTTCAGCAAGCTCGTAATCGCTTTTCTTAGAAACTTCATTGCAGGTATATTAAAAAGCGATATCCAAAGTTGCAAAAAGTCGCCGAATTTTTTATTTCACTGATTTTCCTAAAAATTATATTACTGTCAGATGTAAAAATCAGATAGTAAGTAAAAATGCCAAAATTACTCCAATGTATCAATAGAAAAAATTAAAATAAGTGTAAGTTTATCTACAGTCTATATTTCCATATAAATAATTATATTTTAGCTCATTTGTGGCACAGTGTGGCAGCGGGCCGGATAAGCTGACCTTGCGGGCCGTAGTTTGGTGACCCCTACCCTAAAAAGTACTCCCGGGAGGCAATCCCCCCTTAGTAGATCATCCGTGTGTGGTGTTACCGTATCCCATCAAACTGTTCTATTGAATTTTCCGGAAACTTTTTTAAATTACGATATTTTAAAAAGTGTTACTATAATTATTTACTTGGATTTATTCTGCAGATCGATCATTAATAAATACTAAACTTATTAAAACAGTTTTATTTTTTCCATTTTACGTCGGTATAAATATAAATCATACTAATTAAGCCTTAGCTTTAATCATAATTAATTATATAAATCACGTTGTTTATCATTAGTGGTTGCTAGTTTGACGGCAAAAAGTGACCTTCAGTCTGATTTACAGCATGTTATTCGTATTTAAGTCGAGGAAATACTAAATACGAGTATAGTATCACAAAGATGTCCAACTTGAAGCATGGAGGGAAACGGCATACTCCCCTGCCAAAGGGTCATTACACTGTTGGTTGTATCGATATAATGACAGGATATTCGAACAAGAGCTCTTTTGTTCGCTTATATTATCCCTGTGTCGAAACCGGAACTATTGTAAGTTTTTTTTAATTATTTTCGTCTTAAATTTTTACGATTTCGTTTATATCGATAAAGTTTAGATCTAGAAAAAAGTTATAACGTTTATATCAGGATTTAGTGAGATGATTATATAAAATTTAATGATGCGGGTCCCAAAATTTACTTAGTTTTATGAATAAATTCTAAAATTATTCAATTAAAAATTAACAATAAAATTATCTGTTATAAATTACTGATTTTTACTTTCCCAGTTCTGTTAAGTATAACAGAGAGAAAGTACGACGATCGATCAAAAAAATGACCCCCAAGATTTTTACATTTTTGGACGTAGGACACCTTAAAACGTCGCGAAATGCTAAGGAGGAAAAGTTTGTTTTCTATGTGTATGGATATTAGTGTGTGAGTGTGAGTGTGTGTGTGTGTGTACACCCTCTTTCAAACTTGTGTTTTTTGTCGAAAATTCTGAAATTTTGCAGGGAAATTTGTTTATTAGGCGATTGATGCTATTAAATTTTGGTGGTTAGGGTTCTATGAGGTGGGGGCGATTAAAAGGGTCAAACTTAATAACGATTTTACTGGTTATTAGTAAGGATGCACCGATAAGCAAAATGGCCGATTACCGATTACCGATTAATCGGCCATGCATTATCGGCCGATACCGATTAATCGGCCGATTAGTGTTAATAATTTATTGCATTAATAGTGTGAGATCCTGGAGTTAATTATACAGTTAATTATAATGTGGAAAAAATCCATTTTTCTCCACCTGGTATTTCCATCTCCCTCGGGTCAGGTAAACAAGAGACGATCGAATATCCTCGCAAAATCAACAATCTCTTCCTTTGTTTCTAAAATAAATCTCAACACTTAATTGTTGACGCATGNTAAAAATAAATCTAGACAAAATTTATGTTGGAGTTGAATTTTTTACCTCTACAAATGATAATATAAAAATTTTCCTACGATAAATTCAATAAGCTTGTTATGGTATTATTTACTTAATCATTTTTTGTAACAGAATTAAGTAAATTAATAACGTTAAGGAAAGTACGTTTTATTTAACTACGAAAATAATTTAGAATTTAACGCATTCGTTTGTAAACAAATAATTTCGTATTATACCATATAAAAAGAAAAAACTGGTTCATCCAAAAAAGTAAACTTGTTGCAAAATAAAAACAAAAATTGGATAATAGTGAAAAATAACGATTAATTTTAATGTCGAAAAGAAAGAATACCTAAAATATTTGTATAATTCTGGAAAGATTAAGTTTAATATAGTCAAGGTAAACGTCTTTTAAACGTCCTTTAGGAATGCTTCGTTGCAGGGCGGTCACCTCTGCCATTCGTTAGTGAAACTTACGGAGAACTGACGTCAGGCTTTACATCGCTATTCTTCGGAGCTGTCCATAAATTACATAAGCAGTTTTCTTCAAATTTTTACTTTCCCTCCCCTAACTGTCCTAGTTTCTCCAATTTTCCACAACCTCCTCCCCTCTCCGGACATCCAACAAAACTCGATTCCCCTCGAAACCTTTCTCACTTAACGAATAATAAAATGTATAAACTATATAAAATTTAATGAAATAAAACGGACGTTCATTGAATTTCAACTCCTCCTCCCTTGTCCGACTTTGTCAGACTTGTCGTAACCCTCTCCCTCCCTTCCAGTGTGACATCATTTATGGACAGCCCCTTCTCATCCCGACTGATAATCATTCTACGACTGCTAATATCCAGTCATGATCTTTCTTCCTTTTCTCTCCCTGTTTGATTCTGTATTTCTTTCACTCGTTCCGTGTATTCATTCAGTGTTCTAACAAAAAGATTCGGAACCATGTCACGTTATGATGCTGACAAAGACAAAGGTGACGATGAACCAATTCACCCCTATGTTTAAATTCTTTTATACAGTTGTTTACGTCACCGTCGACCTTCTAATAAACAACTCGAAACATCTCTGACAAAAATACAGTACACCTATTATAAAATGTTTGTGAAAGAAAAAAATATTTTCTTTATAGAAATTTAATATATAGAAATCTAATATAATAAATATATAATATCAAGGGGATAAAAAGGTCATCCTGATGAATGTTTCATTCATCAAAAATAAGTATCAAATGAGATGGAAATCATTTTGGAAATATTGTAAGCATTATTATTAAATAAAAATTACTAACCATTGATACGCATCAATAGTATACGTAAAAGCTATACTATAAATGTATATTAATGTTAGTGTTTCTGTATACAGTATACAATATTATATAACTGCTTGATGAAGGACAGCAGTTAGTGTTTAATATACTGTAGGTTCTTTCGTTGAATTTAATAAATAAGAACATATTATATAGCAAAAAATATTTAGATATGGAATGAAAATTTAATATATTCACTTAAATATTTTTAAAATGATTCTAATTTATAATGAGTTATGTAATTTGCCCTGCGATTAAGTGTAATTAGAGCAAATGCATGTATGTACTGTACAGTAGATTTTACCATTGTAAACGAGTAAAGGATTTTTAGAACTCAAACCGTGACTTTTTTCACAGAAATGATCAAATATTCCAATCCCATTTTCGAAAATTTTGCATTTTATTAAAACTATATTTCTATAAACATAAAATTATAAGTGAAAATTCTTATTTCATGTTTGGTAAACGTCATCCGAAATTATTTATTATTTGCATGCAAAAATTTGAGTGATAAATAAATTTCGCGGACTTGAATGATAAAATAAATACAGTATTTCATATATTCAACAGAATTTCATATTCTAAAATAGATCGTGGACATTGTGTTATAAAAATCATGAAAAATATCAAAATGGTTATTTCGATTAGCATAATTATTTATAACAATATTTTATACTAAGAATCAATTTAGAAATTACACATTTCCTTATTCATGATGGAAAATTGGTTTGTGTAATAAAATTATTTCTTGATTTTTATTAACACTACAAAAATGTTTTATTTAACAAATCTCACTAGATAGCATCTCATTTCATAATGCATCCTGTTCTACGATTATTCCTCCCCCCAGCTTCTGAATAAAATCCTGTTTATAGTCTAACATGGAGTTTCAAGGTCGCTAGCAAGTCAAGGTTCAAAGTCAAACTCTGGTCAGTGCTAATTCAGCACGGAGCAGCGTGTCGTTAGCATCAAATTTCGAAATTAAATGTCGTTCAACTTTGCTGTTGTGTGGCCAGTCACTTATAATTCGACGTGTATCGGAGCTGAGAATAGCGAACGTAGAATTCTATGAACTCCACTAACGTCATCACCACGCTGCAGTTGGACTATAAATTGACTCTATAAATTTCACCCCTGTAAAGTTAAAGTTATCGTTTTTATTATCAAAAACTTGAATACTTGAATTTTTAAATCTTGAAAGATCGTAAATGTTTTTCTTTTAAGGTAATTTTGTAATAATCCAAACACAGATGAGCAAATTATGGTGAATAATATGAGTGTTTGAAAACATTCTAATCACTTAGTAATAATCTTGCCAGGTAGTAAAAAATGTGATGGTTTAAATAACGACTGATTCTATACAAATGGCTTTTTAACCATTTACAACTCGACCTATTTTTGCCTAAAAGTCGGATATTATAAACAAGATGTGGAGATAGCCTCAAAAAAAAAATTTGAGTAGTAAAACTTTGAGCGAACTTTATGAAAATATTTATGAAATTTAATATACTGTATAAACAAGATGATAAACAGCATTATACTCATTCAATTTTGATACTAATAACAAACAAAGTTTAGTTAATTAAAAAGTATTATAATTTTAATAAAATAATTCATTTTGACCAATCAGAGTTATCAATTCAAATGGGGATCTATTTAAATTTTATTTACTTTAAATTATCAAAATGACGATCCACGTAAATGCCAATTATTCTAAACTATAATCTCCAAGAATACGGATGGCCGAGACGTTAGCCTATCGCTCTGAGGAATCCTGAATCGAATCCGGGCGAGTAACTTCCTAGTAATTTTTCACGGGTGGTCAGTCAGTCAGACCTGAATATGTCAGGTCCAACCCCTTATTATCTGGCCGTCCCCATTTTTCATAGTAACGTGTGGCCGGCCGAATCCACGACGAGTATAGAAAAAGGCCCTCTTAGTGTTCTCGGAGCGAAAAGAATAAAGAGGAATGTAAAAAATTAGGCTTCATTAACATAAATATTAACAATTAAAACATTGGTTAATCGATAACAATTTTATCTATTATGAAAATGTAATCTCCCTTTATCTTCCCACCCCTTAACCTTTAATTAAAATTTAATAGCATCAATTCGCAATATATAGAAATGAATCTGCCAAGTGTTTAAAATTTCTGGTTCATTCAGTCCTGAGATATAACGCAAGATAAATGCACAAACACATATAAAAAAACTTACAAAATTGTCTGTATTTCTGGGCTCCTGAAGTGTCAAAATATGGAGAAATGTAAAAAATCGAGGGTTGAAAAAATACTACCATATTTTCCCTTTGTTATATTCTTTAACTGCCAGGAAAGTAATATAGTATATTTATAATATTAAAACGGAATTACTATGATCGACGTGCAATTAGAACAGAAATTTGACTTTCTTAATAGTATTTACCATCGCGAGTCAGCACATAGTATAAAAATGACTATTTGCTACATACACACACAAAAAAATAACACAAATAAACATACTAAACCTAATTGTATCATTGTTGCAAAATAAATATTAAAAAATCCAGCAACGAGTTACTTAACTTTCCCGGCAACATTAACAATTTTAGTGGAGTCATCTGTTATATTTTTAAAAAACTTTTTATTGTTATTTTATAATAATTAAAATTATAAGTTTAATTTTGAGGATAGGGATGGGTTTTACAAATTATTATAAATGCTAATAACGAATAAAATTGTCATTAAGTCCGACCTCACTTGAGATATGACATACGACCCCTTTATCTCCCATCCACTCGACCCTAAGACAGCCGGATGGCCGAGCGGTCAAGGTA